CAGAGATAATTACTGAGGGACTGTCTAGCCATGTTCCCCTTTTCTGCTTGGTACCCCCTTATTCCCACTTGATATCTGGATCTTTAAAGTCTAGAAATATCCAAGCTAGAAACTTCCAGTTTTCTAGCTGCTTGATGTATTTCCGTGACCTCAGACCCACTTATAACAGGACCCTTCCGTTCCCTATAAAACACCTTTAGAGCTACAATCAAGAAGCTGCCAACTAGCTATTTGAATTATCATGAACCCAGCAAAGGTTGGCCTGAGGCCTTAACAACAAAACTACTTTAGATGGTCTTAAGTATGTGTCTAGGGAATCCTATCACTGTGGGTTTTTCCATCTTCCTGCCATAGATAGAAGACCATTGTACCCTACACTCCCTGGTGATGCTGTTTGTATCTTTTCCTCAACCCTTTTCAGGTCTAATTTTGAAGTGTTAATCTCAGCCCCAGTATTAAGATGGGTGGACTACTTCCATTTAGAAGTGTTAGTCTTGGCCACGTAAGGGGCTCATTGTGTGCTCAATATCGTTTCCTCTAGAACCGAAGTTCTTAATACGGGGACCAAAAACTGTTTTAAAAAATATCTTGATAACTTCATTTCAAAATAATTGACTTCCTTTATGATTCTATGTATTTATTTTATGAAATTTAAAAATATTCTAACAAGGGGTCCATAGGCTTCACAAAAGTGCCAAAGGGAACTACAACCACACAAAAAAAGTTTAAGAGCCCCTGTTCTCTCTCTTTTTTTTTTAGGCAATTGGGGTTAAGTGACTTGCCCAGGATCACACAGCTAGTGTCAAGTGTTTGGTCTGAGGCCGGATTTGAACTCAGGTCATCCTGACTCCAGGGCCGGTGCTCTATCCACTGTGCTACCTAGCTGCCCCAGAGCCCGTTCTCAAGAAATACACTAGTAGTTAACAATAACTGGCATGTATACAGCACTTTAAGGTTTGTGAAGCACTTCACACATATTGTCACATTTGACTCTCATAATAACCCTGAAGCAAATGCTATTATACATTTTTGATTTAATGAGGAAACTGAGGCTAAGAGATTAAGCAACTTGCCCAGACCACCCACATAGGCAGGTGAAATCATCTTTTTTATTCCAAATCCTGCACTCTATCCAAACTACTTCACCACCACTTTGCAGCATCTTGCTCTAATTTCAAGGTTCAGCTTACAGAATCTTAACAGCATTCACAAAATCCAAGGGGCTTTGCAGAATGATTAGATGGCCTAGTTAACCACGAAATAGATCTTTTTGACTCATGTGGAAATGTCGACTCATTGACTTTTTTGACTCATGTGGAAATGCTATCCACATCCAGAGAAAGAACTATGGAGCCTGAATGCATATCAAAGCATATTATTTTCACTTTTGGTGTGGTTTTTCCCTTTTGTTCTGTTTCTTCTTTCACATGACTAATGTGGAAATATGTTTATATGACTGCACATCAGACTGCTTGCCATCCTGGGGGAGATGGGAGGAAGGGAGGGAGAAAAAATTTCAAATTCAAAATCTTATGAAAAATGAGTGTTGAAATCTATCTGTACATATAATTGGAAAAAATAAAATACTCTTTACTAAAAAGAAAGAAATAAACCTTTTTATTACACTATTAAGGGAGTGCCCAATAAGTCCCTCACACTGGAGCCAGGACAAAAAACCTCAAAAGCGGATGGCTATCAATCCCCTTTCACACTGAGGCAAAAAAAAAAAAAAAATTTATGTGTCAACCTCATCATCTACGTGGACATCCGTGGAACCTATACGGCCAAGGTAAGTGAACTTATCCGCAATATTCAAAAATTTTCCATTTGCTGTAACCAATGTCTTCACATATGATGGTGTGGTACTGGCTGGTGGAGAACCTGTGTTTTCTTGGTGTTGTTAGGCCAAAACTAGCACAAGCAGCAGAGAACCAATTCATACTTTGCTGCATTTCAGCTTCAGAGTGCATTGAGTGCACAATCATCTGTGAACAAAAAAATCATGCACCAACTCTCCCTCCACTTTAGTTTTAGCTTATAGTCTTCTCAAGTTAAATAATTTACCATCAGTGTGGTAGCGGACCTTGATACCCGCCGTTTTCATCCTCGATGAAGGCATCTGACAACATGGCTAAAAACATCATGCTAAAAAGCATGGCAGCAAGCACACAGCCTTGCTTCACTCCACTGGTGCGAGAGCATCACTCACCATCTGGAACCCAGGCATGCAGTCTATCATGAAACTGACATACAACACTGATGAACTTCTCTGGGCAATCAAATTTGGACCTAATTTTCCACAAGCCCTTACAACTGACAGTATCAAAGGCCTTGGTCAGATCGATAAATGTTGTGTACAGACCTCTGTTCTGCTCCTGGCATTTCTCCTGAAGTTGTCAGGCAGCAAACACCATATCTTTCTAAAGCCACACTGGTTCTCCGGTAGATGACCATCTTTCAGGCGAAGGATCAGGCTATTAAGAAGGACTCTGGCAAGAATCTTACCAGCAATGACTAAGAGAGAGAACCCCCTGTGATTGTCATAGGACAATTTATTTCCTTTACCTTTACAGAGATGCACAATGGAGACATCCTTGAACTCCTGGGGAATAACCTCATCTTGCTCTATAATCTAGGGGATTTCAGTCAGCTTTTGTATGAGCAGTGGACATCCCACCTTATAAATCTCAGATGGAATAGAATCAGCACCAGGCACTTTGCCACATGAGAGGAGCATTAATGGCGCTCAAAAAGCCTCTTCTTCAGCTGGAAGTTTGGCTGGAGAGGAATTAATTTCAACCTGATGGATACGGTCAATGACTTCAGCATTGATTGATGATGATCTGTTGGGAACGTTATGGAAGCATTCAACCCATCTCTCCAGGATCGTGGCCTTATCCCTAATCAATGCAGCTTCATCAGCACTGAGTAGTTGAGACGCACCATAGGTCTTTGGCCCAGAAACAGCCTTCAGGGCATCATAAAACCACTTGGGTTGTTACCATCAGGATAAAACTGAATTTCATCTGCCTTCTTACTGAGCCAAGAATCCTGCATCTCTCTAAGCTTCACTAGCACTTTACTTTTGATGGAGTTAAATGTAGTCTTCTTGGAGACAAACTATCCTGCTGGTAAACGCCCTGGACTTCTCGCTTTTCATTGAACAGCTACTGAATTTCCCCATCATTTTTGTCAAAACAATCTCCATGTTTGAGTGATCTGGCTAAGATGAGTAAACGCAGCGCTGTACACCACATCTCTGAAAGCAGCTGACTCCTTTCCTGTTCCACTGTTGCCAACTGTGTGTTGGCTCAACTTTCCCTCCAAATCAGCAACCAAGTCATGTGAGAGAAGAACTCTAATCTGCTGACATTAAGTCTTCCATCAGTCATCTTGCCTTTGGGCTGCCACTTTCTTTTAATGTGAATATTTAGCTTGGAGAGGATAAGCCTATGATCAGTCTAGCACTCTGCGCTATATGTTGCCTCCGTCACTCTCATATCCCGTCTGTCTCTTCTCTTTACAATGACATGGTCTATTAAATGACAATGTTTGCTGCAACGGTGCATCCACAAAGTTTTATTGCATTTAGGTAATGGAAGACAGTCTTGGTGACAAGAACATGAGATGCACAGGTCTTCAGTAATAAGTGACTGCTGCTGTCACTGTTTCTAACTCCATTCCTTCCAAGGACTCCCTGCCATGTCTGGTGGTCTGTGCTTACTCTCACATTAAAGTCATCCAGAATTATAAGCTTGTCTTCTGTTGGCACACTGATGATGAAGGTCTCCAGGTCAACAAATTTTTCTCTGACCTCAGGGTTCATCAATGGTGGCATGATGCTTCCCTACAAATGGTAATCTCATCGTCATGAGTCTGTCATTCACTCCTTTTGGTAGGCATACAAGCTTGTTGACTAGATTAGTTTTCACTACAAAACCTATACCAGCTTCACAGCACTTCCTTTCACTGCAGTCACTCCAAAACACGTGTATCCACCTCTGACTTCAATAAGCTGGCTTCACTTGCCAGTCTTGTTTCACTCAGGGCTTTGATTAGAATAAATTCAACAGGGATAACCATAAAGTCTTACATTTAGATTCAAGAAGCCAATTTCACAAGTTCACAATGGGGAAAGTGAATATATTCCTTACTGGCTCCCTATTGTTTTTTAATCCCAATTCTTCATATACATTTTAAAGAAAACAATTTTCATCAATCTTTACAAATTGTCAGACGTGGCTAACATATGGATTTGTTTTGCTAAATCATGCATAACTGTTATAAGGATGATGTTTTGTTTTTTTTTTTAATAGGCAGAGAGATTTTTGGAGAGAGAGACTTTTTACTAGAAAAAGAAGAAAAGAAAATACATAAAAAAAGAATAAGAAAAGATTAGGAAGGAGACATGGACAACCAGGACATCTTTGAAATTAATGTTGCATTTATTAAATACATTTTTAAAAGAAATGCAAACTGCATATAATGGAGACATGCAGTTTTGCATGCAACCTGTTTTTACTGTTTTATGTAAATATCTGTTTGTTCATGTTTGTCAAGTTCAGAAAAAAAAGGATCAATTTATCCTTACTTTTCACCACTCTACCCAAAAGATCTCTTCAGACATATAAAATTAATTACCAATATCTAAAATAATATTTAATGTGAAGGTGATGGGTTATATCAGTCTCTCAAATAAACAAATTAGTGATATGTCAAAAAATATATTTTGAAATTAAGAAATGAACTTTCATTCAATTCCTCATTATTTACTTTATTACCGTTTTCATTTAATGCCCCTACTTTGAAATTTGTGCATCTTGTATAGTCTGGCTCAGAGACGTACTGGTGGGAGTTCAGGAGGCTGAGTTTTTTTAATAGCTGATGACCCAAAATAGCACATCTAACCTGGTGAGAAGCAAGGGGTCCCAGATTACTACCTTCAAAAAAGAAGATAACAGGCCTTGTACTTGTACTACAATTATTTATAACATCTTCAGTTAAACTTACAAACTTTATTTCTTCCCTCAATTGGAGGATAAAATATATATACAATAAAGGACCATAGGCACAATATCATTTCCTCTTAACAAAGGATACTGCCATTTTATCCCAAACAGCTTGATTCAAGTGCCTTCCTAGATCTGAATAGCACTAACCACCGCCAAGTTTAGGAGATACAAATAGTTTACACCATTTTCTTTTTCAAATATGATGGGGGAAAGGAGAGTAAGTCAATGTAAAACATGATTTCTGCCCACCTGAATTTTTACCAAGTACTGGATTTACAGAACTAGTATTCAAATCTCAACTGTCACTTTCTACCTGTGTGAACTTGGACAAATCAAAACTTCACTGAACCTATTTTCTGATCCATAAAATAAGAAGGATGGAATAGATGACCCCTACAGTACTCAAGCTTTAAATCTATGATCCTATGACCTTCAAATGACTAGGGAAATAACTGTCACATGGGTGTCTTTCATTTCTTTTCTGTTTGCCTTTTAAGACCTAGTCAGGGATTCTTCCTTCTCTTCTTTTTCTCCAACTGCTGCTGTACTCTTTCTTCTTTTTTCTTCAAGTAATTAGTCATGTTATCAAATGTTGTCTTGTAGAGACTGCTAAAGCTATCATCCATGCCTGGGGATCCTGTGATGGGGAAAAAAAAGAACAATAAATAAGGTATCTTTTAAGAGCAGGATGCTGATATAGCACCAAAATATAACTGAACCCTCTCTCAAGGCCTCATTATAAAGGCAAACTTAATTAATTAATTAATACATATACTACATTATTTAGGAAAAATGGATTGCCCTTACATCAAATTGAAGGGGTGGTCTCAGAAATTAGGAAATAGCTAGAACATGATGGATAGAAAATTATGATCAAGAAACCTGGATCACACATTGGATTTTCAATAAGGAGATGGGTGACACTGGATTAATCAACTAAAACTCTAGGCCTCAGATTTCTTATTGTTAAAATTAGGCTAGATCATTCAGTCCCAAAATTTTAAGATTTTGTGATTCAAATGACTCATCAAGTATTTAAGCCAATGTTTTTCTTTATTTAAAAGAAATGGAAAAGGGAAGATGGTAGAGTAGGTCAGAAAATTCTAAGCTCTCAGGATTTTCCCCCACAAAACAGATAAAACAGCACCTCAGGGCAAATACAGAACAGTAAAAATAAATAAGAGTAGTGACAGAACAGTGGTCCCCCTGAGACAATCTGAGAATATCTAAGAAAAAATCCCAGGAAGAAGTTTGGTCCCTGTGAAAAGTAAACACCTCCAGGCTGGGCTCACTTAAACAACAAGCAACAAGCCCTGGGGTTAACTGGGTAGGGAGGCTGCCTCTGTCCCAGTCACAGGAACTTTTATCCCCAAGAATGACAGTGAGGGCAGTTGAGCACCTGAGTTGGGGCAGACCAAGTGTACCTCTGCTGACAAGCAACACCAGAACTAGCACACACCCAGTGAATGCAGAAGCAGTGAGGCAGAGGCGCTGCCGGCTGTGGGCACTTACAGGAGGCTGGAGGTCTTGGTTTCACATTCCGGGGCAGAGCAGAAAACTGAAGAAGAATCTGAGGCCAGAGGTACCATTCCCCATACCCCAGGACTAGAGGGGATTACAAAAACTAAGCTGCTACAAATAAAAAAAAATGCACAGGCAAAGGAGAAAGACTAACCATAGAGAGTTCTCTATGGGAATAGAGAAGAATGGGGTTCGTCTTCAGGAGGATATGGAAGCAAAGAAACCCTCTTCTACCCCAAAGAGTAATGTCAAATGGTCGCCTGCCCAAAAAGAATTCAAAGAACTTAAAAAAGACTTTAAAAATCAAATGAGCGAGATTGAGGAAAAACAAAAACAAACCAAAAAAAGAACAATCTAAGAAAAACAAGAAGATTATGAAAACAAAGTCAACCAATCAGAAAAGGAGATCCAGAATCTTAAGAAAACGACTCTGAAAATCTGAATTGGGCAAGGGGAAGCCAGTAAAGTTATAAGAGATCAAGAAATAATAAAATATAAAGAATGAAAAAATAGAAGAAAATGTGAAACATCTCATAAGAAAAACAAGTGATCTGAAGAACAGATCAAGAGAAAACATAAGAATAATCAAGACTACCTGAAAGCTATGATCGAAAAAAGAATCTTGATACAATAAATACAAGAAATAATTAAAGAAAATTGTTCTGAAGCATTAGAACAAGAAGGGAAAGTAGAAACAGAAAAAAATCCACCGATCACCCTTGAAAAACATCCTACAAGGAAAACGCACAGGAATATCATAGTCAAATTCTGAAACCCCCAGCTCAAAGGGTTTACAAGCAACAAGAAAAAAAAAATTTTAATAGTTTAAATTCTCACAAAGAGAATCACGCAAGACCCAAACTAAAGAACCACAGCTCCTGGAACACTATATACCAAAGAACAAAAGAACTGGGGTTCTGGCTGAAAATATCATACCCAGCAAAGTTAAGTATAATCCTGAATGAAGGGAAAAAAATGAACATTTAATGAACTGTCAGACTTTCAGGACTTTGTCTTAAAAAAAAAAAAAACCTGAACTTAATACATTTGACATACAAGAGCCAAGAGAAATAAATATAAGGTACATATCAAAGATTAATTATAAAGGACTCAATAGGGACAGACTGTTCACCTTTTATGTATGTAAAATGTATATCTAAGATTGTTATTATTAATTGAGTAATTCATAAAAATGATTGGAGTAAATCTGATATGACTTTTAAAAAAAGTAAAACCGTTTAGGAACCGTTAAAAAGAGTAATTTTCTCATACAAATGAGGTGCAAGAGGAAGAACTGACACAGAGGAATTCTAGAAATCTACTTTCATGGGGAATGGGTTCAAGAGGGAACAATACATATATATCTAGAGGAGTATAAAAGTCTTCTAAATTCAGAAAGAAATAAATCACTAAGGGGATAGGGTGGGGGGAGAGGAAAAGGGAGGGATCTCTAGAGGGGAAGGTGTGGGAATAGCCTAAAGGGGGGATATAGAAGGGTGTTTAGATTTATGGTAATGGGAGGATAAGAGAGGGACAGGGGTAAGAGGGTAGGTTAAGTAATAGGAGGGCAAGGTGGCAGACAGAAGTAAAGTAGAGGAGTCAGGAGGGATAGGAAAATAAGAGATACACATAAACATAAAAACAAAGATCAGGAGTAGAATTTGTTAGGGAAAGCATATATTTATATATCTATGTATGTATGTATATATATGTGTATATATATATATATGTGTGTGTGTATACATATATATCTACATATAAATATATCCACACTTAATTGTAGCCTCATGGGGGGGACAGGAGGAAAAAAGAACAAAGTAAAAAGTGCACAGCAGAGAACAAAAGAAAAATCACAAGGAAGCAAAGAAGGACAGCTCTCAACACAATGCATAGTATTTATTACATAGGCTTTCTTGAAAAGGAAATTTATTGCTACATATTTTGAATACTCTCCTACTTTCTGCTGTGCACATGACTTTTTTTCTTTTCTTAATGTGTATTTAAGTTTTAATATTCAAGTTTATAATGTTTCTTTTCCTTTTCTCATTGTGTATTTAAGTTTTAGTATTTAGGTCTAAAGTAAGAAAAGATTTAAAAAAGGAAATGTTTTATGCAAAACTTAACATCAAACATAAATACAATGAAAAGGCTTCATAGTAACTATTTATACTTAATTTCAATGACTGTAGTAACACCTTTTCACTCCCTTTTAAACTCTCTTTAAATTTCTACCCATCAGGAATCTCAATTTATTCCCATTTACTTTCCCTCATATAATCATAGCATATACTCCATTCTTCTAGCTGTGCTTTTTTCATTTTATATTATATATTATTTCATAAACATCTTTCGAAATTTCCCTGTATTCCTCCTACTTTTTGCTCTTAATCATATTAAAGTAAATCATTACACTAACATGCCAACTGTTAGACATTTAGGTATCTGCTAGTTTTTAGCTATTACATAAAATGTTGCTCCAAAAATCTTTGAATAGGTAATTCAGCCCTGCTCCCCTCCCTTTTTTGGGGGGTGGGATGGTGGAATGTAAAACCTTCAAGGCATATTCCAAACTATGGAATTACCAAGTCAAAAGGTATGAGCATTTTTGAGTTTTACTACATTTGGAGATGACACAAAACTCTAAGTAAGTCAACATCAAGTATAACTTTTCTTTTAGCTAACATTGATTTTCAATGCTTTCTTAAAAATAAGTTTTCAATATCTTTTATGACAAAAATTTTTTCCAGGTATCCCTCCCTCTGCAGTCTCCTTGAGAGCCATCTTATATAACAAATAGTAAGAAAAAAAAAGAGAAAAGAAAATTTAACATACCTCAAGTTTTCATTTAAGTATTCCTTTATTTTTGGTGTTTTTAGTTTTACAGTTATTGGCATAGAGATCTTGTGTATTTCTAGGTACATTATGTATCAAATATTTGACGAATTTTTTTGTTATCCTATACAGGTCCCGTCCTCCTCCCCTTCCTCAAAAAAAACTTTTATTATTTATTTATTGTAACACTTATTTTTTTAAATTTTGGGTTCCAAATTCTCTTTTTCCCTACAGCCTCTTTCCCAGCCATTGAGAAAGCAAGCTACATATCAATTATACATGTGAAATAATGCAAAACATATTTCCATATTAGCTATGTTGCAAAGAAAAAAAAAAGACAAGAAAAAGAAAGTAAAAAAATTATATTTCAATTTGCCCTCCAAGTTCATCAGTTCTTTCTGGAGGTGGATGGCATTTTCCATCATGAGTCCTTTGGGAACTGTCTTGGATAACTGTATTGATCAGAGCAGCTAAATCTTTCACAGTTCATCACCATCATAATATTGCTGTTACTGTATACAATGTTCTCCCAGTTCTGCTCACTTCACTTTGCATCAATTCATATATGTCTTGCCAGGTTTTTCTGAAATCATCCTTCTCGTCATTTCTTATAACACAACAGTATTTTATTGCAATCATATACCATAGCTTATTCAGTCATTTCCCAATTGATGGGCTTTCCTTCGATTTCCAATTCTTTGCCACCACAAAAAGAGCTACTATAAATATTTTTGTATATATAGGTCCTTTTCCCTTTTCTTTGACCTCTTTGGAATACAGACCTAGTAGTGGTATTGCTGGGCCAAAGGGCAAGCATAGTTTGATAGTCCTTTGGGCACAGCTCCAAATTCTTCACCAGAATGGTTGGGCCAGTTTACAGCCCCACCAACAGTGCATTAGTATCCCTATTCTTCCATAAGCTCTCCAGCACTTGTCATTTTCCTTATCTGTTATTTTAGCCTGTCTGTTAAGTGAGGTAGTACCTCAAAACTGTTTTAATTTGCATTCTCTAATAAGCAGTTATTTAGAGCTTTTTTTACGTAACTATAGTTAGCTTTGATTTCTTCTTCTGAAAACTGACTATTCATAACCTATGACCATTTACCAATTGGGCAATGGTCCTTATTTTTATAAATTTGGCTCAGTTCCCTATATATTTAAGAAATGAGGCCTTTATCAGAGAAATCTGCTATAAATCACCTCCCTCCCCCAGTTTCCTGCCATCCTTCTCATTTTGGCTGTTTGTTTGTGCAAAGCCTTTTTAATTAAATGTAATCAAAACTATCCACTTTACTTCCTGCAATACTCTCTATCTCTTGTCTGGTCATGAAGTCTACCCCTGTTCAAAGATCTGACAGATAAAATTTTCCATGTTCCTCTAATTTGCTTATGATATCACCCTTTATTTATGTCTAAATCATGTACCCATTTTGATTTTTTTTTTGGTATATGATGTTGGTTTTCTTGGTATAAGATGTTGGTCTTTGCCTAGTTTCTGCCAAGGTGCTTTCCAGTTATCCCAGCAATATTTGTCAATAGTGAGTTCTTGACCTAAAGGCTTGGATGTTTGAGTTTATCAAACAATATATTCAGGTTTTAAAACTTTGTTTTATTAATTTTACTCATAAATAAGAAATGAAGACTTTTCATGGATTAATCTATATTTGGCCATTTCCTTTACTATATTCATTAATTCTTTAGCTGAGGAGGTTGAACTTTGAGATACACTTATAGTCCAAATGTTCTAGTCCATCATCTATAAATGATAACATCCTGACCTCTAATTTTCAATGTGAATCCTTTAATGTCTCTTACCTATCTTTACTGCAACTGATAGAATCTGTAGTACTATGTCAAATAATTCAATGTTATATGCCAAATAACCACAGTTTAAATAGATACTCCTGCTTTGTATATGTTTTTATTGGGAATGCTTTTAATGTTTCTCCATTACATAATAAGTTGGCTCTTCACTTACCTTTTATTGTGTTATGTTGAGGAATAGTTTTTCTTTGCCTATTGTTTAGTGTTTTGATGTTATTGGATCTTATCAAAGATATTTTCTGAATCTACTGATATAATTATATAGGGGGTTTCTGGAGATTTCTTTTCAGCTACATTTTCATGGAATCATAGAATTTTAGAACTCAAAGGGACATGAGTGGCCATCTAGTACAACCCAAACTAAAAAAAGAAATCCCTTTACAATGTACCTGGACAAAAGGATATCACCTAGGATATTACTGAATACCTCCAAGGACGGGGAATATACTACCTTGCAAAGAGGCCTATTCCAATTATGGACAGTGGTAATTATTAAGGAAATGTTCCTGTCATCAGTCCTAACAACTCTTCTGTGATTTCTATTTACTGCTGTTGGTTGTGAATTCTGAGAGCAAACAGAATAAATCTAATTCCTCTTCCACAAAACAGCTCTTCGAAAAGGTTAAGATAGCATTCACCCTTGAGTCTTCTCTTCTCCAGGCTAAATATTCTCAGATTCTTCAACTGATCTTTACATGACAATGACTGAAGGTCTTTTAGAATTCTGGCCACCCTCAACTGACCACTCTCAGGCTTATCAATGTTCTTCTCAAACAGTAGCATCCAGAACTGTAGACTGTTAGACCCAGAATCCAGAATTCTAGATGTCCTATGCTTAGGACAGAGTACCTCAAGACCGTTGCCATCTTGCTCCTACAAGCTATTCTTTTTTTAATGCCGTACAGATCAAATTAGCTTACCTTAGTTTTTTTAGTAGCTGTTATCACATTGGTGTTTAGTTGTTCAGTTGTGTCTAACTCTTTGTGACCCCATGGACCATACTGTCCATGGGGTTTTCTTGGCAAAGATACATTAGTGGCTTGCCATTCCTTTCTCCAGGAAAAGAGATTAAATACTTGCCCAGAGTCACACAGCTAGTTAAGTGTATGAGGTCACATTTGAACTCAGGTCTTCCTGATTACAGGCCCAGTATATATCACATTACTGACTCATATTGAGTTTACAATCCACTAAAAATCCTAGATCTTTTCCAAATTACTATCTAACCAAGCTTCTATCGTCTTATATTTGTAAAATTATTTTTTAATCCAAATTATTTTAGTTTACATTTATCCTTATTCAATTTCACTTCTGGGTTATGTGACATTAGGAGAAGGGGAGAAGCTCTTCTTGGTGAATAACCTCAATTTTTCTCAGTGAAATATGAAGCAAGGTTGTCAACTGAGGTCAAGAGCAATGGAAGATTTAAGGAAGAATGAAAAAAGGCTTGGAAAAATTTTTGTAGAGAATGGAATAGTGAATCAATTAAAAGGATTACCTTGCCACAATAAGGCCCAGCTGAAATTATGTAACAAATTTATAGTGCACACAGTCAGCACAATGGGAAAATAGCCTGGTGGCAGCTGCTAATGTTTTCTTGATTGCCTTTTTCAGTATTAATAACATGAGAAAGATGGATATTAAATTAAAAACTAGTCTTGGATAAGATGCAGTTACTCCTAGGTCATACTGCCTGGCCAGCATGTTCTTAGGTACATAAATCATTTGTATTATTAGACTAAACAAAGTATAATTTAGAAGGCAAATCTACATGTAAAAACAAAACTTAACATCTTCTATCACACTGCAAAAAATCAAATAAAAATGATCTGTCAATAGTTTATCCATCCTAATGCTTCCTTCTTAACAAGAATAATTGGGTTGACTGTAAACTGAAATTCAAAACATTTATCATGACTAGGTGAAGAGTTTCATACACTGAAAAGGTTTATGAACTATCTAAGAGTTTTGAGCAAAAAATATAAAAGTCTAGAAATATAGGATAATTAGATCTATCCCCTTCACTCAACAGAAGAAGGGGAAGAACATGTAAAAAACTGCTAGAATGACTGGGGAATATTTATGAATGTAGGCCAAAACTCCAAAGCAATTCAACTGACTACTGTGCTTTCCTTTATCTGATCAATTTGTAATTGGCATATTCTCATGTACTTAAGTCCTTGCTTACTCTGAGTTTATGTATTTATAAGAGTCTCCAGTTTCCTGGACCTACTTCAACATGAAACTGCCCAGCCTTCTAACATCTGTGGGCCAGTCAGTGGTTGGGCTTGATCTAGGTTCACTTGGTTCATATACAAGTCAGTAAACCCTAGAGTTAGATCAAATGATTACAGATTTCCTTTAATTCCCAAACCTGACTGGCACATTGAGAAAATATCTTTTACCCACACAATTAAAGACTCTTATATCCCTTCCTGACCAAATACAAACAACAAATTAAGTCTGCCATGATTTCACACCAACTAGGAATGAGCCCTGAGATAACTGTCTATGCATGTGCTTTATAAGCATGAGCTTAATAGAAACCTAGAGTTGGACAGGACTTTAGAGATCAATTAGCCTAGTCTCATTCTATGTATGAAAAGGCTGAGGCCAAGAACTGTGAAGTGACCTATTAAGATTCACAGAGTTAAGCGACAGATCTAGGATTCAGAAATAGAGGCTAACTTTGGGCAAGTCACTTAATCTCTAAGACAACTCTCTAAGACTAAGTTACAGAATAGCTGCTGATCTGCCTTGGTCAAAGGAATTATTAACACCAAATGAAATCATAGGTGCAGACCCCTTTGCCTCAAAATAGCCATGACACATAATGGTGAAAGCACTTTCCTTTTCATTCCTAGACTGAGCTAGAGAGGTAATGCTGAAAATGATCACTGGGGCCCTATGGAATAAGAGTGGCTTGTCAAAGAGGAGATCCTAGGAATAATTTTAGACATTACATTAAGAAGTAAATTTCTCACCACCTTCCACCATGGTCCAGTTCTCATGTAGGTTATTGGAGATTTTCTTTAACATCTCATTTTTGGAAATAGGCTGAGGAAGACAAAAAATGGCAACATTTATTAGAAGTAAAATGCAATGCACACAGAGCTCTCACCATCAAGAGGAAGCCAAATATCTCAAGGAAAGCAAAAGAAATGAAAATACCTTAGGTCTGTATGATGCTTTACAGTTTACATACATTATTTATTGATCCTTATAAATGATGAGGTAAGTAGGGGAGGTATCATAAATCTATCTTACAGATGAAAAAAATGAGGCTAAAATAAGCAACAGTCCACAGTAAAATAGCTAACAAAGTGGTGGAGCTAGAACTAGAACCCAAGCTATCACTGCCCTAGTCTGGTACCCAACTATACTATACTGCCTCTTCCCAAAAACACGAAAACAAAAACTAGAGTATGATCAAGCACAAGTTTTAAGAAAAACTGAAAGTGCACGGAACTGGTATTGTACATCCTTAGTCTATATAAACAGGAATAATAATTACTGTTACTTTAAAAGCATGTCTCTTACCTGCCACTGTCCATTCTCAAGGTGATAGAGCAAAACTGGCATTTCTCTACACTCTTGTAAAACCCAAAGCCCTTGCATTTCCTCAAATGCAATGTCCCACACTCTGTGATCAAAGGTAAGTTGTTGTTTGTAAATCAGCTGTTTCTTGATGTCATCAAGTTGGAAGATGTAGATTACAGGAATACTTTCAAGGAAGAAAAAGAAAAAAAAATTTTTTAAATAACTAACTAGATTCACGGGGGTCTAACAATTCACATGCAAAAAATCTAGGGGTTTTAGTGAAGTGCAAGATCAGTGAGTCTACACTATGAACTAGGGTGGTGGATGGCTATTTGCATGTATAGTCAAATTTCCTTGGGATTGAGTATATGAAGGTTGTAGCATCAAAAATAGAAATCCAAGACTATAATTGTATTGTTTTAAAGCTATTATGATACTCAAAGATCCCTGTATATATTTTTGCAAACTTACAATCATGTATATAGTTTTATATATACCAAGTTTTTTAAAAGCCTCACCCTTTGAATTCAAAGGTTAGATAGTATCAACTTCATCATAGTAGCCCATCATACTGTTCTTCTCCCATTAGCAATATTTATTGTCAAATCATATGATATCGATGGACTGTTGTATTCTGTTTTATTAGGGGCAATGTGGCCAACACTCATAGTGACAGCTAATAGGGATTAGGAGAACATCAACAGTTCTGACCCAATTTTTACAGGCATCTCTTAAAAGGAACAGATGCTCTGCTTACATGTACTCTGTATACTACTGTGGCATAAGATATTCATCATCAATCCACAAACATTCATTGACTGGCTATTATCGCCAGTTACTGTGCTAAAAATGGGGATACAAAGATAAAAGGAAAACATAAGTACTAGGATCTTTTATTAATTTGATTGCTAAAAGAAAGACTGCTTTCACAGAATAAGCTACTAGATAGTCTTCCATATGTAAGCTACCAAATGCTTAAAAATTAGGCAAAAGCAGTCTTTCAAAAATATATGAAATTCTATCCTCTTCTTTTATTTGTAGTAGGGCCTAGAGTTCCTTGAATAATTCTAGTCTATTTGACAAATATAACTATATACCCAGATAAAAGTTACTCTAATGGGAACAGAAACAAATAAAGGAGTCAAGTGGCAAGAAATATGAATAATAAACACATTTGCCAATTCCTACTGAAATCAAAACACTCAGCATGCCAGAAAATCCATACTACCCTATGATCGTCCCAATTATCTTTGTTGAAATATGCCCATGAAGAAATCAGTTTGATGCCCTTGTCACATTTAACATAATGTACAATAAAGATAAGGTGAAAAGAAACCAGAGGCATTTTGGAAACTACAAAGTGATTTTGTTAATCCCATGCTCCTCCTTTAAACATTAACCCAATCTTTTTTTCCTTTAAAATTTGATGTTTTATTTTAACAAATACCCAAAGAAAAACTATAACAAAGTACACTCCCAAAACAGTGTGTTAATAAACATTTCTTTGATTAATACCAATATTCTCCAAGTGATGCTACATGACTGAAATATGGAACACCAAAATCTCCTTTGAAGAATGAAACTCTCAGGCAATGATAGCACACTGAAGAAACATACAGTGGGCATAGATAGGGGAAACATTACTAATAATGATATTTGCACTAACAATGGTGGAAAAGATAGCATCTAGGAAATATACAATCAGAAAAAGAGCTTAATTGAACACGTAGTAAAAATAAAAGATGGGCAGCCCAAGTACTGGTATACAGATAAAATTTAAAACACTAGAGGCAGGTCTCAAGCCTAGTGGATGGATTCTTTATGACAAATATATGGGGGTGTCCAACATGAACAAGTTACACAGGATGAAAATGTCAGTTATGATCTGTATCAAGTGGAGGGAATACCCACACTGAAAAGATCACATATCCACTAAAGTACTGAATTACAATTATATTAATAAAGCAGACAGTACAAGCACACACATTCTCATATAATAGCCCAAATTCACTGGAAGGAGGAATCCTGACAATGAAGCTGCTATTAAGATGTTCCGAATCAAAATCTAGCTTTAGAGTCACATAGCACCCAGATTAGTGGGAAAAGGTCTAATGAAACAGTAGGTACATTCTCCTCCTTTTTCTTGTATACTCAAATTCTTAAACAGATCTGTGCTTTTATTTTAGATGTTCCCTCCAATCATGCAGATTGCTATTCACTTTTCACCATCCACCGTTTGTGTCTCTTTTCTATGTCCTCCTCCCACAGGGAGGACACAAAAGTGGGAGAAGGGGCAGTTTTCAAAGATCTTCCTCACTTTCTTTTCACACTGCAAGTATGCATGGCACAAATATACTATACAAGTTATCCCTAAACTTTTGCCATATAACCACATATCAACCATCCATCTCTTGGATGTCGTCCTTCACTTGGGTTCTTCATTGTAGCCTTCTCACATCCACACGTACCTCTTCACTGCTCCCCATGTGGTACTGAAAATTTTGGACTAACCAGGAATATAGCAAAAAAAAAAACTGGATTTAGAATGTATATTGTTCAGAATATAACAAAGAAGTAGATAATGAACCTATGGAGCTCATCCATCAATGTGTGTGTGTGTGTGTGTGTGTGTGTGTGTGTGTGTGAGAGAGAGAGATGTATATATACACACCAGCCAGTAGGTGTGTGAATACACACACACACACACACACACACTTTGGCTAAATAATGCAAATGGATAGGTAATTGGACAGAGGTTTAAACAGAACAGCTCTTTTAATGACTCCAAAGATCTCTCTGCCTCAAAGATGAAAGCCCATATTTAACATTCCACTAGCATTGTCATATGCCTGCAAATCATGGTACACCAAAGTCTCCTGTGAACTAAGATTTATGGTATGTGATAAAGAAGCACAATAACAATCATTTGGTAGCTTACCAGTCACATAAAATGGCAATGTAGTTTTCTCGGCAACAGTAAGTTATTCTTGAAACTGCAAATATCTAGGCGAAAAAAAAGAAGAAAGCGTAAGCTTACATTTCTGTAGTGTTTTGAAGTTTACAAAGTATCTTTTTTTTATAACCCCAGTTTTCTCAACTGATTCTCAGACAGTAGGCTACAATGAAGGCTGCCACCTATAAATTAGTTAGGGGTATGAGAGAAGAGTAAGGAAAGAAAACATGACCTCTATAAAAGGAAAATATTGATCTTGAAGACAGAATGCATAGACAACTGAAGGATTACAAGTCTGCCAGAAGAACACAAATCATAAATCTTGAACACCATAATGAAAGAAATAACATAAGAAAACTGCCCAAAATTGCTAAACACAAAAACAAAAGGCCAATCAAAAGAATCTATGGAAAAATCCTTATGCTGCACACTCCAAGACTCATAGTGGTTAAAATGAACAACTCCAGTGACAATCAAGTTCTGCAAAGTGACCAGGAGAAAAGAAATTCAAATAACACAAGACTATTCTCCACCCCAAAGACATTTCTGGAGAGAATGTAATAATGTATTCTGAAGAGCAAAGGAGCTCAAGGTGTAGCCTAAGGTAATGTATCCTGCAAATTTGAGACTAATCATTAATGAAAACGACGAATATTCAATTAAAAAAGAAGCATTTTGAAGCATATCTAGAAACATAACGAGACTTGAAAAAATTATTTACTTCTCAACACCCCATATAAGAGAAAGAGAAAGGGAAATAAATACAATAACCAAGAACAACAATAAAATAACAAGAGAGATATCATTAAGAGATTTTCTTTCTAAAAGTACCTAAGGAGACAAGGGAGAAAGCAGAAGGCAATAGAAGTGAAGAAAAAACGTGAAGAAAAATCTACTCTGTTTAAGAAGAAGTACAAGAAGTAGGTGTAATAATCATGATCTCAGACAAGGCAACAATAAAAACAGCAAATACTAAAAAAGATGAAATAGCAGATTACATTAAAAAAAGGTACTATAGTCAATATTCAGTCATTTTTCCAGTCATGTCCTATTCTTCATGACCCCATTTGAGGTTTTCTTGGCAAAGATACTAAAGTAGTTTGCCTTTTCTTTCTCCACCTCATTTTACAGATGAGGAAACTGAAGCAAACAAGGTTAATTGACTTGTCCAGGATCACAAAGCTATTGTCTGAGGCTGGATTTGAATTCAGCTCTTCCTGACTACAAGCCCACTGCTCTATCCACTGCACCACCAACAGTCAATATTATCAATGATATATATGCACCAAATGGAACAGAATCTAAATACTGAAAAATTAAACAAGTTAAAGGGACAAATACACTGCAATGCTATTAATAGTTGGGAACCTCTCAAAACTAGACTAATATAACAAATATGAAAAAAAAGTTTATCCAGAATAGACTTTTATAAAAAATTACATGCAACAGACCTTGAGCAACTGCAAATAGAAAAGAGGTATATATACCCACACAAAAGCATAAAAACATCAGAAACAAAAGGAGAAGCATGAAACACATCCTTTATTAACTACAACACAATAAAAATTCTATTCAATAAACAAAATTTGAATATGGCATAAAACGAACTAAACTAAGTAATTTCATCCCAAGAGATTGGTAGGAACAATAACATATCACAGCAACAACAGACAATTTCCAAGAAAATGACGATGAGACAAACCTCAAAATATTAGGGATGCAGCCAAAGTAGTCCTTAGGAGAATTTTTTTTAAATCATTAAACAATTTCATCAAAAGAAATAAAAGATTAATAAATTGTTCATGAAAGTAAGAAAGAAGCAAAGAAAAAAACAACCAAACATCAAAACAGGAATTTTAAAAATGAAAGAGATTAACAAAATTGAAAGCAAAAAAATCATTGAATGAATAAATAAAGCTAGGAGCTGGTTTTAAAAAATGAATAAGATAATTTAGCTATTCCTAAAAGAAATAGGAAAAAAATCAGCATAAGTAAAAAGAATTCACAACAAATGAAAAATAAAGGAAACTAGTAGGAAATATGTTGTCCAACTCAATGCCAACAAAATTGACAACATAAAATCAAAAGAATTATTTGCAAAAACATGAAATGTCCAGATGCTATATAGAATGTGAATAACCACATTATAGAAAAAGAAATTGAACAAGCTACAAATGAACTCTCAAATGGGGAAAAACCCTGGAACAAGATGAATTTACAAGCAAAATCAGTCTCAACTATTCAAAGAATATTATACAAACTGTTTGCAAAAAACAGGAAAAGGGATTATCAGATTCTGTCTATGACAGAAACAAAACAGAAAAAGCAAACTATAAACCAATATTCTAAAATGTATTTATACAAAAATCTTAAATTAAATATTAAGAGGCTACAAAAAAGAAAAAAAGATTAAACACTAGGTCAAGATGGGATTTATATCAGGATTTCAAGATTGATTTATAAGGAAAACCACAAAAATAATAATAATATCAATCATTAAAATTATTAAAAAGCACAAAATTACATTAATATATGCAAAGTGCATTAAAAAAACACTAAAAAGTATGGGGATAATTGGACCTTTGCTTAATAAGGAAAATATTATGTATTTAAAACCAAGAGGCAGTATTATATGGCTAGAGGACTTTCAAATGAGATCCAGGATAAAGCAAGGATATTCAATATTACCAATATTATTTGATAGTGATAGAAATGCTAAATGTAGCAATAATACAAGTAAAATAAACTGAGAGACTAAGAATAGGCAAAGAGAAAATAGAAATATGATCTTTTTTACATAATGCCTAATAGTAAACCCTAGAGAATTTTTAAAAATTAAGTGAATACAGTAATGGCAGCAAAACAGCAGTATACAGAAATTAAATCTACACAAGTAATCAGATTTTCTAATAAAACAAACAAAACCCAAGAGGAAGTTCCACTCAAAATAACTACAGAACGTATAAAATAACTGGAATAAAATATCCACCAGAAACTATATGAATACAACTACAAAACACTTTTTACACAAATAAGGATAGACTGGACTAACTGGAGAAACATTATTTGTCAGAGATGGGTCACAGCAATGCAATAAAAATGAAAATACTAACTACATAAATGTACTTATTCAGTGCACATACCAATCAAAAAGGATTACCTTACAAAGCTAAAAAAACCATAAAATGTATCTAGAAGAACAAAAGGTCAAAAATCTCAGGGGAAATAATGAGAGGGAAAGTGGGAAATGAGGACCTAGCAATATCAGTTATATTACAAAGTAGTATTAACAAAAATTATTTCATGCTGGTTAAAGAGCACAAAAGTTGATCTGTAGAAGGAATTAGGTACCCCAATGGCTACATTCTTCTCTCTAACCTACCCTGATGTCTTGGTAAAAAGTTCAGCTTTGCACTCTCTTTTTCTTTCAAGTTCCTGGTCTCTTTATCCCAATGCCAATGCAGCCCTGCAATGCCTCAATCCGAGATCACTCCTACCACCTACTACCTTCACTCCGATTCAAGGGCTGCTGAACAAAGCTGGAGAAAATTCATGAAACCAGGCTAACTGGGTCCAGTACAACTTTATGTTACATAATCTGAAATAAGCCTCTGATTCCCTGTCCCACTCAGCACAATGGCTTAAAAGTCACATATTCAGACAAAAGAAGTCCAGTTACTCAGTGCATGACCTCAGAGATAGTTCATTATGACTGTCACTTTCACAAAAGAGAACACAAAAAGCACTGAAAATATTTTCAACATTAAATACTCCTGGCAATCACAGATATATGGCACTTGAACAATGAGAATCCACTGTAAACAAGAAATCACAGAAGAACTGCATAATGGTATTGAAGAAAAAGACAATTTCATTGTTTAAAAAAGAAAAAAATCTTTTGAAATTTGTTATATGATGCAAGCCAAAATGTCCAAGAAAGATCATCTAGGAAGATACATAGATAATCACTACACTGACTCCCTGTTTCTAATATGTTAGTGAATTATCTAAATTCTAAGGTTTGCATGCATTAGAGACAATTCAAATGTAATACTATATCAAGGGATTCAAACAAGAAATTCTCATGCTTTATCCACTATACTACATTTAGTCTGAGAATATATTTGAAAACATTAGAAAACAGTTTTGAAAATTTGTAGAGATAAAATGCTGAACTGGAAAAATTATTGTATGGCCTATTAACTGCTCATGAATTCTAAGATTTCACCTGTGTCCTTGCCTATTTGGCAAGTCTCTTAACCTCAAATTTCCATATCTTTAAGATATGTCATCATAGAGATTTTGAAAGGTTTGAGAAGTAATCAAGGCCTCAACGCGTTTGGCTTAGGGCAACTATGAAAAGAGAAATGGCCACTCAAAAGGCAAAAAAAGGGGAGGGGAGAGAGGCTTGCATAAAATTAATTAGTTTCCATAACTGAAGCTCAAAAAACTAGAAACAAATTAGTAGGGAATAAAGCTCTGAGTTGAAAAGCATCTAAATTTACCCATAAAGATTCTAGTGACCATGTCCCCATACTGTTTAAAGACATCAGAATCAGAATTCAGAAGCAGACTTAAGGGTCCAAATAAATCAGAGGTTCTTAATTTTGGGGGGTAGGACCATGGAACTCTTTGGCAGTCAGATGAATCTTATGAGCCCCTTCTCAAAATAACATTTCAGATGCATAAAACAAAATATATACTGAAATGTAGTTATCAAAATCCATTTTTTAAAAATTTACTATTTTAAGGTTAAGAACTCCTGCTGATCTTAACCCAAATTTTACAGATGAGAAACCATCTAAGGCTCAGATAGAGGTGGCTTATCTATGGTCATACAGCTAGGAAGAGGACTAGAAGCCAGAACTCCTGACTTTCAAGCCATTGTTCTTTACATCACACAACTCAGGTGCCATATTTGCACCTTACCAGGACTATACGCTCAAATCTTGGTTAGCACTAACCGAACCAAGTGCTTAAGTAGAGTAAGCGATTAAGCCTTATTCTGCTTCAGTTTCCCTAATTGGATAGTCATGTCTTGACTATCTTAGTATGTCTATATATCTACAAAAAATACCTTTAAAAGATTGGAAAATATTTTTAGAGTGACAGTACTAAATCTACTACAGTACTAATTGTTTTTGAAACTTCATTCTTTACTAATTTCAAAGACATTGCTAAACAAGATCTTGGCAAGCAGTATCAATTCCTTAGTAAGATCAGATACATCAGAATAAAAAATTTCTTTTAATGACAACCTAGAACGATTGATAAAATGATTTCTGTATAATGACTAAATGTTTCCAGTATTTTTAACAAATAAAATTAACCCTGCAAGAAGTCTAGTATTGATACTAACCATTTTCAGCTTTCCCTTTTACTTAGTAGAATCAATTCACCTCAATAAAAGGCTAGAAGCATGTTAACAAAAACAAGGTTAAAATCACAAACTCCACCTTCTCACATGGGGTTGCCTCAGGATTTCTCAGTCTGTTAAGATGATAGCACTGCAATTCTTTTCCGATTTTGTATTCCCAGAGTCTCAAAGTACAGTCCTATATATATTCAAAAAAGACAATAAGATTCATTACTATAAGCTTCTGTCCACTGCGTATCACCCAAATCAAAATACAACTTACATATATGATGGAATGAATCCTTAAAAAATTAAGGTTTGCACTGGTCATAAGAGACTTAAATAACATTTTTATAAACATACAGATTCTATAAAAGTAACTACCAGTTTTACAAATTTGACTGTTACAGATATCTTTATCAATGGTGCAAATTAATTGCAACTAATCTAGAGATTTCTGTGACTACATCCATAGTTTGGTACCACATACAACACTGAATGATAGAAAAAGATGATCTTTTGGTATGTGAAATAAAAATGTAAATTTCTAAAACTATAAAATTAGTAAATTGTAAAAAATTTTCACATAAAATGAAAATGGACTGAAAGACAGTAAGAGGAAGTGAGAAAATTTCAGCAGATTAGTTTGTTCTTATGTCAAACCAATAAATAGAGGTACTTCTCCAATAAGAAAAAAGGTCAAAAATTGTTTTCACATACTGCATAATTTACAATGGTATGACTGTACTATGGCTTTTCAACCAAAAGTCAAGATTATACTATAATAAAATGAGAAATTGATATTAATTAATGTGTATGGCTTTATCAATGAATTTTAGGAAAAAACTAATACAATTTATCTTATCCAGTGCCTACCCCAATAGCTCTACAAATAATAAGCAACTTAATAAATATTTATTGAATTGAAATACCTGCGTAATAAAATGTCCACAGTTCATAGCAAAATTTATATTCTTTTTTTTTTTAAAGGCAATTGTGGTTAAGTGACTTGACCAGGGTCACACAGCTAGTAAGCGTCAAGTGTTTGGTCTGAGGCCGCATTTGAACTCAGGTCCTCCTGACTTCCAGGCCAGTGCTCTATCCACTGCGCCACCTACCTGCCCCCATAGCAAAATTTAAAGAAGACAGTAAGGCCCCAGGGAAGGAAGGCCTTAAAAAAGTGAAAGAAAAGTAAAAACTCAAGAAACCTAGATATTGATGGAAATCAACAAGAAAAAAATCAACTAGAAAATGAACTGGCAAGAACAAAAAAAGCCATGAGAGACAGAACATGATTCTGGGTAGATAAAAGAAAAGTAAAAAAAAAATTATAGCAACAAGGAAGAAAGTTTATGGAAAACGGAAGGCTTCTGAAGTGAATGAAGCTATTTTCAAAACCACACTAATAACTCAGAAACTTTCATTTTGACATAACTACAGTAACTTAATGATTCTTTAAGATTAACACCTTTGTGAAAGATAATTAATATTATTTCTTTTTATTTAGCAGTTGGGCTTTTGGGTGCTATTTTTTAAGACAAAAAAGTTGTTTATTAATATAAAAAAAGAATACAAAAGTAACAAATATTAGAATCTCCCTACTTCAAAAAGCTGTAATTTCTGGAACACTAATGCATTGTTGGTGGAGTTGTGAAATGATCCAACCATTTTGGAGAGCAATTTGGAACTATGCCCAAAGGGCGATAAAAATGTGCATACCCTTTGACCCAACAATAGCACTTCTAGGGCTGTATCCCAAAGAAATCATACAAATGGGAAAAGGACTCACATGTATAAAAATATTTATAGCAGCTCTTTTTATGGTGGCAAAGAATTGGAAACTGAGAGGATGCCCATCAATTGGGGAATGACTGAACAAGTTGTGGTATATGAATGTAACGGAATACTATTGTGCTATAAGAAATGATGAGCAAGCAGACTTCAGAAAAACCTGAAAAGACTTGTATGGACTGATGCTGAGTGAAGTGAGCAGAACCAGGAGAATGCTGTTCACGGTAACTGCCATGTTGTACGATGACTAACTTTGAGAGACTTAGCCCTGCTCAGCAATGCAAGGATCTAAGACATCTCCAAAGGTCTCATGATGGGAAATGCTATCCACAAAGAAGAAAGAACTATGGAGTTTGAATGCAGATCAAAGAATACTATTTGCTATTTTTTTCTTCTGTTTTGTTTTCTCTTTGCTGTGGTTCCTCCTGTTGGTTCTAATTCATCCTTACAACATTACTAATTTGAAAATATGTTTAATAGGAATGTATATGATAGCCTACATCAGATTACACACCATCCTACGGAAGGAGGAGAGGAGGGAGGGGGAGAAAAATTTACAACTCAAAAGCTTATGGAAGTGATAGCTGATAAATCAAAATAAATTATTGCTTCTAAGTAAGCAGATCACAACCTTCCTATGAACAATGAATGAGCTTTGTGAGTCTCTGTGGCTAAAAATTTTATCACTTAGTGGTTACTCTCTACAAAATTGTTAGGCTGGACCTTGAATAACAGTTCATTATGAGGCCTACATTCACAAGCTTTTCAGAATGTTAGGTCCTGCTTAGGCTTGTTTTCAGGTCTTGGACTTCAAAAATTCTAGGTAACTTTGCATGACATGATGTGGCATCCTTTGGAGTAGATACTAGAATAATAAACTTTAGTACCTTACTAAGATAAGAATGCTATATTCCATATATTCTTACGTTTTGCACTTCTGTAGAATCTAAATGTCCTGGAGATTCAGAAAGTCTCCCTCTCATCTCCCTCACCTGAGATAATGAAGGCATTTTTAGAACTAATGATGGTAATCGACATATATTAAGTCCATGTCAGGATCAATTAAAAGGGCCGTGAAATTAATATTTTCTGTCTAATAAACTGCTTAGAACAAGAACTACAGCTACCTCTTTAACTTAGGGGGGAAAAACCACAAGTACCATCTAGGAGTACTGAACAAGAACAAAAAACAAACAAAAACCCTATCTCTAAAAGAACCTCCAGTTGTAGCATCAAACCACATATATATCTTGAAAGGAAAAAAAAAGACTAAGATAAATGATAATAATAATAATAATAATAATAATAAATGATAAATGATAATAAAATACCCACCCCTGAGGTAGATAATAATAGATCTGGATGATTTGGCACCACAAATATTCTGCTCACAAACCTAAAGACAAAAAAATGGACATAAAGATGTTAAACTTTTGTCAGCCATGCTATCTATGCCAAGCATGCTCATCAGCTACATATTTAATCAGTTACAAAGCAAATAAAGATAGAACTATCCTCAGAAAATTACCTTCCGTCACCTAATAACTCTATCTCCCCTAAAAGTAATAAAATTAGGGCAAGAGGGAAATTATTTAGTAACTTCATAACAAAATACATATATAAAATTAGTAGTATCATAGGCCTTAGGGCTAGAGGACACTAGAGATAATCTAGTTCAACTTCTCCTATACTCTAACTCATCCTTTTACATTTGAAGATACTGGCATCCAGAGAGCTTAAAATCTTACACAAGGTCAAACAAAGCAACAGAAACAGAATTTGAACTAAAGTCCTCTAAGTCCAAATACAGTGCTCTTTCCTCCATATCATGCTGTTTCCCATTGTGTGTTATTCTTCGATACATCCAAATAACACAAACAGCATTTAGAGTTCTGCAAGGGATGGTATATGCAGACCTCAAGATACTATGTTATGTTCCACAACTGTTAATTCTCTAGAATAGTGATTCTCAAACTGTGTTCTGCAGGCCCCTGGGGGTCCCCAAAACTCTTCTGTAGAATCCACAAGGTCAAAATTATTTTCATACTATAACTAAGACATTATTTCCCTATTCAAATATTCCTCTACTTTTCCAACTACATATTTGTATGTGACCAGATTTTCTTTATATACTTCAACAACCAAAACAATATCTGCAATGGTTTGATGACAGAAGCAGATAAGAGAAATAGCTTTCTTCTTTTAAGTCCATATAATAAGGAAATTTGCAAAAAATATGTAAAACAATGTCATTCTTTTGGCTATTTTCTTGTTTTTGAAAAGTTACTTTTCATAAAAAATATGGTATTTATGTTAACATGTAGTGGTTTTATTATTTTTAGTTAATAAATAAACTTTTAAATTTTATAAATATCAAGAGATATAACTCATATAAACAAAAGATCTTTGAGATGCTCAATAATTTTTAAAAGTATAAAAGGGGCCTAAGATAAAAAAGTGTGAAACCCACTATCATAAAATACCTAACTAGTGATGACATCATCTTTCCTATTTCAGATTCAGCATTGGAATAATGTTTCCCAAGTCTCTGTTCCTTGATCCAAGAAAGCTTCTCCAAAGGTCTAAAATGATCTGAATGAGTGTAAGACCTACAAAGACATGGTAGGATTTATAGACAATACCAAAAACTGACCTGTGACCTGGTACTTCACTTTCTATTCCACAATCTAGGTAACAACTGTAGTAAATACATGAGCATTTTTTATTTAAACACACATTTTTTTTTCCTCCATCAAATTACTGCAAAATTGGGCCCAAGTCAAGGTCTGTGTAGTTTGTTATTCTATAAAAATGGAAGAGCAAAGTTGTCCTCTTTGACTTCAAGATGAAACATTTAAGAAATACCTTAAACATCTTGGTTCCTAAACATTTCAATATAGAGCTTAAAGACATGAATTTAGGGGCAGCTAGGTGGCACAGTAGATAGAGCTCCAGCCCTGGTGTCAGGAGGATCTGAGTTCAAATCCAGCCTCAGACACATAAAACTTACTAGCTGTGTGACTCTGGGCAAGTCACTTAACCCCAATTGTCACACACACACACACACACACACACACACACACACACACAAAGACATGAATTTATCAAAATATTTTCTAAAATGTATTTGTACTTTTAGCCTATACCCCTTCTCAGCGGAAATAAGCTTTATAATTTCGTCATTTTTTAAAAAATCCTACAATCTTTTATCTGATCTAAACTAGCTTAAGTTCCTTGTATTACCATTATATTACTAAAGATATAATACACTAGTTCATGCTCAACTTATCTGTTCATGATTTATATATGTCAAACAAGTCCACTCTCAAGCCTTTTTAAACTGACCTCTGTCTAGGCAGACTGTCTAGAGCAGTGAATTCTAAGTGTTTCAGGTTGCACACTCCTATCAGTTAAAAAACTGAGCACATACCGACACGTGTATATTTACATACAAATTATATATATCTAACACTGTACTAATAATTCAAAATAGAAAATGTTAAAGGATGAGATAAAGATGAAATAACATTTGATTCTAGGTTCAAATAGAGAACTGGTAGAATTTACTGAATCAGGGAGTAACGTGGTTTTAGAAAACTAATACTTAGCTGTGTGGAAGATGGATTTTAATGCAAGAGATAAGTCAGAAAGACTAATTAGGAGGCTATATTCCAAGTGCAACATGATGACGGCTTGATCTAAGAAGGAGATGGAGTGAGTAATAAAAAAGGGAGCTACAATGAGGTACAAATAACAAGATCTCATAACTTTTTAGAAAGGAGAGGAGAGGAAGAGTAAGTAGTCTGACACAGAAATTGTGATCCTATGTGACTAGAAGGATGATGGTGTCCACTGTGAGTAACAGGAAAGTCTGGAAATCAGAGTAGACCATATTACTCAAAAAAATTAAAGCAGTTATATTAATAGATGCAGAAAAGGCTTGACAAAATAAAACACCCCTTTATGTTAAAAAAAAACACCAAGAAGTGAACAACAGATCATTTCTTAATATAGTAAATAGTATCTATATAAAACCCAAAATCAACATTATATATTGTGGAACAAGGCTGAAAGTCCAAAAATTTCACAGGTAAAGCAAAAGTAGTCATTAACATCACTATTATTTAACATATTGCTAAAATTTTGTTAAAATTATTTAACATACTGCAACAAGTAAAATAAATACAGAGACTAATATATATTGACAAAAAAAACTATCACTTTTGCAAATGTTACAATGATCTACATAGAAAACCCAAGTCAACTAAAAGATTAATTGAAAAGATTGATAACTTCAGAATATTAGTACATAAAATAAACCTACATAAATATTCACCCTTTTGATGAAAAACAGCAGAAATAAACATAAAGAGAAATTCCACTCAAAATAACCATAAAATACAAAAACCATTATGTAATAGATTAGTCCTCAAATGATATGACCGAATAGTTCTCAAAAGAACTGCAAACTATTAACAGACATAAAAAAAAATGTTTCTAATCACTAAGAAAAAGCAAATCAAAAAAATCCCTGAGATTTCATCTCAAATCCAGTAAACTGGCAAAAATTACAACAAATGAGAATAGTCAAGATTGAGAGGCTGTGGGAATAAGCGACTTATTAAGGTTGAACTGTTTACATTTCTGCATGGAAAGATGATATTTGTAACTCATGAGACCTTTGTCAGTATTAGGGTAGTTGGAGGGAAAAAATTATATGTATGGATAGATAGATAGATAGATAGATAGATAGATAGATAGATAGATAGATAGATAGA